CCTCTCGGGGTCACTGGGGACAGCCAGTGGGACACTGAGCTGGGTGGGATGTCCCCTTCCTCCTCCACCACCCCAAAGTGGGGTGACAGCCTCAGAGAACCCCCCCCACCCTCCTGTGCTTTGAAGTGAGGAGAGGAGGGTGCAGCCCCTGTCCTGCTCAGGCCACCAGCAGCACCCATGGGTGCTGAGAGCCACCCTCCCAAAAGCAGATCCCAAAAGGAAATCCGATCCCCAAAGGTGATCCCAAAAGCAGATCCCAAAATCAGATCTGATCCCAAAGCAGATCCAAAAGCAGATCCAGTCCAAAAGGAGATCCCAAAAGCAGATCCCCAAAGCCAAGCAGATCCGATCCCCAAAAGGAGATCCCCAAAGGAGATCTGATCCCAAAAGCAGATCCCAAAAGCAGATCCGATCCCAAAAGGAGATCCCCAAAGGAGATCTGATCCCAAAAGATGCCCAAAGCAGATCTGATCCCAAAACAGATCCAAAAGCAGAGCAGATCCAAAAGGAGTTCCCAAAAGCAGATCCCCGAAGCAGATCCCTGGTGGGACAGAAGGGCCGGTGCTTACTTCAGGCACTGGATGTAGAGATAAACCTTCAGGAGGCTGCAGAGCACAGAGATGGCACAGGCGCCCACCAGCCCTGCGTGGGGAAAGGCAGCAGCAGGTCACCAGTGTCCCCTGGGCTGTCCCCGTGCCACCCCTGGGGACTCTCACCTCGCAGGAGCGCGTCCAGCAGCGCCCAGCCCCAGGCCAGCCCCGGCACCGCCGGCAGCCAGGACCCCAGAGAGAACATTGGTGGTGGAGAAGGAGCCGTGGCCTCACCAGGGCCCAGATCAAAGGTCCGTGGGGTGGAGGCTGGGAGTGGCCACCCCCGGCTGGTCAATCATTGCTGGGACAACCAGCTGGAGTCCCAGGGGGAGGAGATGAGCTCCAGCTGCCCCGTGGAGGGAAAATTAGGGTGGTGGGAGGGATGTGGTGATGGGATGCACCTGATGGGGCTCGAGCACCACCAGCATCTTTAATTCCTCCCACCCCAACATCACCTCTGCTGTGAGGACAGGCTGAGAGAGTTGGGGCTGTTCAGCCTGGAGAAGAGAAGGCTCCAGGGAGACCTTCTAGTGGCCTCCCAGTACCTGAAGGGGCTCCAGGAAGGAAAACTGGGGAGGGACTTTGGCCAAGGGCAGGGAGTGACAGAACAAGGGGAAATGGGTTTAAGCTGAAAGAGGGG